AACCAGATGTAATGGAAAGTTGAAGTTACAAAGCTTGTACACAAGTCCGTTATGCCAAACATTGTCAAACGCCTTTTCAACGTCTAACAAGGCCATGGCTGTGGACTTGGATACAGCTTTGTTACTTCGAATGTTATTCATCACCCGTACTAGCTGGTGATTGGTGGAATGCCCCTTTCTGAATCCAAATTGTTCCGGAAGGAGAATGTTATTTTCCTCGACAAACTTGAGCAAACGATTGAGAATGAGTTTCTCGAACAATTTGTGCAGCGCTGAAAGGAGGCTGATTGGTCTGTAGCTTGAAGACAATGTTGGATCCTTACCGGGTTTGCGGATTGGTATGATTTTTGCTACTTTCCAGATGCTTGGAAAGTAGTGCAGTTCCAAGCATCTGTTGAAGATAGCGGTTAGAAGAGACTGCACTTTCATCCTGAGTCTCTTCAAGATCAATTTGAATATACCGTCAAACCCGGGAGCCTTCATGTTCTTGGTGCATTTCAGCGCTGAGCAAATCTGTTGTATTGTAATCATATCCGCCGGAGGCACGCCACAAGGGGAGGCATCAAGGTTTTGAACGCATTGCGCAACCTGATCATCGAGCGGACTTTGGATAGTCGAGCCAAGCAAATGCGATGAAGCGACATGCTTGCCGATCGCATTTGCTTTCTCCTGTGGGGTGATTAAAAGCTGATCGTCATCATTTTCGACTCTGAGAGGTGGAACGGGTTTGGGATGAGTTTTCAGGACCTTGGCTACCTTCCAGAATGGTCTGGAGCGGTCGTCCAGATTTTGGACAACACGCCCGAAACTTTCATTTCGGAGTGAGTCCATTCTGGAAGCAATCTGCCTGTTCAGATCGGCCATATCACGTTTTTTGCCCAGGTCTCCAGTCCTCTGAAACTGGCGTCTACGCACATTTCTCAATCGAATCAATAATTGGGTGTGGGAATCAATAGCAACAAACTTACCCCTCACAGGAACTTGTCGAACGCATGTCTCGTCAGCCTCGGATATGGCCTGTTGGAGTCCTTCCAACGCCCGGTCGATGTCATCTACGGTGTCGAGCAGTGGATTTTCATCGATGTTGCTGTCCACCATTCGTCCGTACTGCATCCAGTTGACATGGTGGTAGTCTTTACGCCGGCAGCTTCTAGCAGGAACCACGTTGACACCGACTTCAGTCACCACCGGTTGGTGGTCGGAGCTGAGATCGTTGTGCACCTCCGGCTTGGATAGTCTGATGTTTGACAGGAAAAAGTCCAGCGTGGAGGGATTTCCCGCCGGAGAGATGAAAGTTGGTTCGTCCGGAAATTGCACAGTGCGTGGTCGAACAATAGACATCCGTTCCGGTTCCTCTGGTAGTTCCGCCAAGCTTCATGGCGGGCATTCAGGTCACCCCCAACGTTGAATCGGGAGCTAGTACGGGTGATGGCGGTCAGGTCCTTCTTGAATTGGATTCCTAATCCGTTGCTTGTGGTACACTGGCGTGGGCAGTAAACAGCGATGAACCGGACGTTTCCAGTTGGTGATTCCACCTCCACACTAATGGCCTCGATGATAGAGGTGCGGATGTGGGGCAGAGTGCAAAACTTGATTCCCTTTCTGACGATGACCGCTACACCACCCCCCCTGGAGCTGGTGCGATCAAGCCGGATAATGTTGTGGTCAGGCAATCAGAAGCTGTCACCGGACTTTAGGTGGGTTTCGGTTAGAAGACCCACGTCGATGCTATGCTTGCGGAGGAAGTCGGCAAGTTCAATCTGTTTTGCTCTTACAGAGCAAGCGTTCCAGGTAGTGATGGTTAGCGGTTTAGACACCATACTGGATGATGAACTTACCGAGCACTTGGATTTGTTCGGGCTTATTGCGGCACTTACGTAGAGCACCGGTCAGGTTGATGAAAATCTCCATCAATTCATCCGCTGAGAACAGATCGGGATTATTTGGTTGAGCTGTTGATTGTCTCCAGAATCCAGGGGGGGTGGAGAGCTTTGTCCTGCAGAAGAACCAGAAGTTGCTTGAGCGGAATGCACCCGCGAATTCGCTTGCCTTTGCTGAGGAGCACGAAGAGGCGGGAAATCCTCCGTCCGAAATGCCGGGACTTTGTCCTTCTTACGTCCTGGTTGGTTGTTAGTTGCCGCCTGTTTTCGGATGCGTTTGAAGTCCTCGCGTTTGGAGCACTGTCTTTCGGAACCTTGGTGAGCACCACCACAGTTGGCGCATTTTAACGCCACGGCTCCATCCGCAGGGCAGTCTGAAGTGGCGTGGTCTTGAGCGCAGTTGCCACAACGTGGCTTAATGTTGCAGTTGCGGGTGCCGTGTCCGAAGTTCAGACACCGTTGGCACTGAGTCACATCACGATGGCCGCCACGGTATAGCTCCCAGCGGACGATGATGGAATTGATGGAGCGGTTGGCTTTCAGCGCGTTGAGCCTCACCGTTCCCTTCTGGAAGTGAACCAGGAAAAGGCTATCCGGATACGCCTTCACATTTTCGTTCTTCCTTGGCATCCGATAGACAGCACTTGGGGCCAGCTTGTACCGGTCTCTGATTTCAGCTTTGATAAACTTCGGGTCGAAGTTTGGTAGGCCCCTAATGACGACCTTGAATGGCTTCTCACCGGGAATGTCGTGGGTGAAGAATTCCACCTTGGAAGTTCTCAGGTGGGCGACGACCAAGTCATACTCCGCTTTGGTACGGAGCACCACCTTGGTGCCGACTGTGCCCAACTTGTATTCAGCTTTAACGGCCAGCGTCGCTAGATCTGCGATGAGCTCATTAAGATGGGCATTTTTCACTACCAGCTTCACTTTTGCCGCACTCGGGCCGGCAGAATTTTCCGTAGCCGATGGCGTCGCCGAAATCACCGATGTCGCTGGCGTTTGTCGCAGTGACATCGGACTGGTCTCGATTCTTCTTCCTCTTCTTGCTGCGTTTTTCCAACACAGCTGGCTGGATATTCCCATCCATGGGGAGAACAGCAAACCTGTTCGAGGTAGGCACACCAGAGCTTCCTTCACCGGGGTTCTGGACCTTCGCCGGGCTTCGCGACCGATGCTTCCCCATTTTGGGACACACACACACGCACGACAAACCGCGAAAGAGAGCGCGAACACTATCGCCACGAACTTTTCAAACAACTCGAGAGACCTAGCTAACACCGAACTGAACTGCTTGACGATCAAGCAGAGAATGTCCTTGTGTGAGATCTGGATCCCTCCTTTTTTACACATTCTGCACACAAAATAGCTCACCCTCACAGAATTTCCCGCCGAATTTTATGTATTATATAGGGCGGGGCATAAAGTATCTTTTACGCAGAATATGTAAACAAGGAGGGACTTCAAACGTTAAAGCAAATGCATATATAGAGGTACCAGACATGTTTTGTAGTGTCAGGTACTCTACTTTGTAATCTGTGAAAGGAAAATCACAAATCGAGTGTCATCAAAATACATAGCATGATGAGAGATTGAGGTCGTGAGAGCAAATTTTCGCTCTCAAATTTGAATTTTTTGGCTCGCTGGGAGCTGGTAGTAAATCAGGTAAAACTGTATGGGGAAAAATCATTTTTATTTAATTGTAGCTTGTTCAACAATAATTTCCGGGAAAAAAAACTGAACTACAAAGTCCCTGATTAATTTCTTTACGTTGTCGTTCACTTTTTTTGACCTGAATATGCACCGAAAGCGAAAGGGATTTTTATCACTTCCTACCAGCGGAACAGCGCCATCTCTGTGGAAAATGGTCGAACAAAATGATTAATTGATGATTATTCATAAAATGTATAAGTCAACTAATAAGCAGACGCCTTGCAAAAAGTTAATGAAGATCCATGTGTAAAATGAAATGTATAAGTGGTCACACATACCATTTATGCATTCTTATAGGACCTATGTGGTTTGTCTTATGGAATGTATAAGGCTGAGGTTTTGGCAAAAATGTATAAGTGAAACACATGGATAAAATAATTGATTTTCGTTTCGTGTAGTAAGTTTACTTAACCAAAACTTCAATCCTATAGGTAGTGTTTCTGTTTTCACTTGCCCCATTTTCCCTTATAAACATATGAAGTTATTTACAAATATCAAAAAAATGTGCTATTACTTTTCAAGGAATTATTATAGCGAAGCACATTTGATTCATTTTAGTTTGCACTGTGTGCAGATTACCGGGGTTCAAATTAAAAACTGTTCACATTACCGGGGGTCCACGGCAATTGACTATCTTCATCGAAATTGCTACAATGACTTCGTTATCACAGTTCTACTCCGGTAACAGCCAGCTAGAAGCTCTCAGCCGGTTCACAATGCCAGTATTGGCTGAAATTTACTTCATCATGACTTACGACAACTATACTGCCGGTGGACGCATAACTGTCCCATGTTCTATAAAATTCCCTATGTACATGGGACAGTTAGGCATTCACCGGCATTATAATCACCAAGTGGAGTTCCCCCATCCGCAACATTGCAACCTATTAATTTAGCTCATTGCAAAAAAAACTATCTCTCCACGCTTGCGGATAATCTCGTTTCCCTATATGCGTGTATCTCAGCCGCGCTTCCTCTCTGAATCGTGATTTTACCATTTTGACGTACCAATCGCATCTGTTTGATGATTAGGAAATTCGCTTTCAAAGTTCAATTATTAGCGATGAATTATTGTGCAAAAAAAAAATTGCTACAGGAGGAAAAAAGCGAAAGCAAAAGGTTAAAATATAAGATCAAAACTAACGATAGCTGGGAACGAGGCCATCGGAGGTTGAAATCCATACAGTCATTATCGATGTTTCTTAGTTACATACTGACTGGAAGTTCCAACCGAGCGCAGCTTCTTATGTACACATACGTCAGTAACAGCGCTGATGAAGTGAAATTAGCAAAATGACTCTGTTCGTTGATTGTAATTCGCTTCATTGTCAGCATGGGGCTATTTCTGTATCCAGTTAATCAACTACTGCTAAGGTTAATGGCGATTTCAACCCTTCTTTTCCACAGAGCAATCCGATACGAGGATCTGTCCCTGAACCCGTACAAAATGACCAAAGAAATCCTCAAATTCTACGGCCTTCCATTTGATCCGGCCGTCGAATCGTTCCTGGACACGCACACCAAGCTGGACATCGGCGGAGTGAGTTCCACGTTCCGAGACTCCAAATCGGCACCGTTTCACTGGACGAAGGATCTCACCTTCGAAGAGGTTTGTTTCTTCTTTAACCGTTTTTAATTAATACAACTAATCCATGTATGTGCTCTATTTAGGTGAAAGTGATCCAAGACAGTTGTGTCACCGCGATGAAATCGTGGGGCTACCGGAACGCAACCGGTGAGACGGATCTGCTAAACTTCAACCCGCTGCTACCGTACAGCGTATCGTGAAACATCACCAACGAGGACGACTGGAGTTGACCGGTACCGGTAACAGAAGCTGTACGTTAGGACAAACAAAAAACAAAACGTCTTATCATCGTTCTAAACTATTGGGTCTAGTGAAATGGGTAATGTACTTGATGTCCGTTTAAAACGGAGGAGACGGCGGCAGCGCAGCAGCTGTGCTCCGATACGGAAGTTTGAGCATATTTTTTTTAGTGTTATAAAGAACATGAGCATCTGTGATGAAACTAGGTAAACAAAAGTTGATATCGATTAATTTAAATGTTAACTAACACTTGATGATAAACTACTAATAACATTAGTATTTAATGTGCGTGTGTTTACTTTAGGCAGTCCACTATAGTTTATCGATTTTTTTCAGAACAAATTGCCATCTTTTAATGTGTAAATTATGAAGCTACGAAATTAAGGTATTTGTTTTCCGGGCAATTTTGTATGAAAACTGATGGGACTACAGGAAAAATGGACTACATATTGGACTAAATGATATTTTGAAGCTGTTAAAATACTGCTATTCTCATCAAACAAATGAGTTGAATCGGGAAGACTCAAAGCTTGCGCAGAAGAATTCAGAACATTATTGTGTAGGCAATGCATTTGATTCACATTCGTTTATAAAGGCATAGTTGAGATTGTGTTGTATGTTCGTCTGACTAGTAAATTCGATGAAGCTTTATAAATTCATTTATGCGTTCAAGTATAAATTAACAGGTTGGGTTATTTGTAGAATCGATTGATTTGCCTCACTTCAGTTTGTTCGATACAAATGCACTACGTTAGGAATTTTGTATATCTCCGTAAGCGCTAAAGTTATAACATGATCACAATCGCAGATCATATATCAAACGTTAAGTGCGCTTTAGCTGCTTCTAAATAGTCTGTGGGAGAGCCGAATTAGATCCGATCATAATCTGCATAATGTGCGGTGTCGTTCGTTCTTCAGCAGCTCGGGACTATGATTTTAATAGAAGGATTATTCAAACTTGGCATGAACATGTTTCCCGCCATCAGCGTTGCCAGATTGCTTTCAAATTTATCGGTATCAAATGTTTTTAAAAATCGGTATTTATCGGTATATGCTTTTATAATTAATTTTATATTTCTTTTCGATTTTGATGGCAAAAATTCAAACTCTTGGACTATGAAAGTAACGAGCCAGAAGGGCTACGTTCAAAAACCTCTAACCCCTGGTCAAGCCACGGAGGTCGTCGGGGGGGGGGGGGAGGGGGGCCCAACAAACAATTTTAGCTGTAGATTAGCTTATACAGCCAAAATTTGCCTTATGCAGCTAATTTTTGCCTGTATAAACTAAGCTGCAGCTAAAATTGTTTGTTGGGGGGGGCTTCATCCCTCCTCTTTTATGGGTTAGCTCACCTTTTAATTCTCAGGGTCGGCCATCGACCTCAGGAGGACTCAGAAGCAACCGATCACTTACCTTACACAACACAACTAAGCACCGAACGCACATCAAACCCTCATCTGACGAACAGGCTGGCTCTTTCGAAAAAAAGGAATATTAATCAATTGAGAGAGAATTTAATTTCAAATGTTTATTTGAGCCGTTCTGCAAATATCAAACCTTGTTTAAACTTGGTTTGCTTGTTTCCAGCAGTTGTCATTTAGATTTTGTTTTCTTTTTCAAAGGATTAGGAAACGCAGTTTGAGGAAACATCGAAGGCTGTTTATTTTGATCCTTAAATACGTATAATTGAGATAACTAACAAATAAACAGGCAGCCACCGTGTGGTAGAGCAAGCAAATTTCTCCTCAAATCTGTCTGGGTTGCTGCGGTTCCTGTTATTTTCAAGCTGATGGGCTGCAGCTGCTATACAACAGTGGCTGATAATGCGTTAATATGCCTTGCTCGGCTGGATTCCCAGCTGATTTCACAGGCATAAATAATCAACGGTCAGCAAATACACGCCTACGGAACAAACCGTGAAGAAAACCTACCGCTATCTTTCCATTGTTTATGGTCACTTGTCACTACTGCCGTTGACTGCATCGCCGGATGTATTGCTACTGTGGATCGTGGACGCTCTGACGTTCATCACTGGCGACTGTGACTTGCTGGTTCCCGAAACTAGGCCTCTGGGAGATCCTGCGATTTCGTTGCCGGTATACCTAAGCCTGCCAACAGGATTCACGGAACAAAACTTGCTTTGTTTTGTATTTCATCATAGCGGAATATGCTGACCACATGAATACTGACGGAAATTAGGTTTTTTTAGGGGTGTTGAGGTAAATACATATTCGTTATCTGCATTAAAAATGGAACTGAAATCAAAAATTGCATCAATTTTGGTATACTGGAACTATTTTAAAAAAGAACGATTACATTAGTAAAACTCACAATTTTAGCGCCCCTTGGTGGGAATTTGTATGGGAGTGAGCTGTCAATGAATAGATTTAGTGTCAACGATCAAAAATTTAAATCGATTTAAAAATCGAAATGAATTTCTACAGGATCGATAAAACGATGAGCACATAAAGCGAAGCTCTATCAGATGATGTATAATAATTGGTATATTTTTTCGAAGTTTAACAACTCCATTGGCGAAAAACTTTTGTTATATTATTAGCATAATACAAAATATAAAATAGCGAAATTTTCTCTCCAAATCACATACCTTCGACAAAAAAAAGAAAGTTGAACGATCATCAAGGGCCATCGCGTTTGGTTTGACTTTCGATTTGTTTACCTTTGTATACATTAGATTTCCCCACCGTTATTCGGACTCAGTATAATTTTAAGGAAAACTTAAATCCGATCTATGTATAAGCATTACATTACCATAAAATGATTTAACTTTAATCAATCTAAGTATTGTACTGATTTTGAGTATGGAAATTACCTTTCGCAGGGTTAGCCGAATAGTGACGCCGGGCTTCGATGGGTGATACAAGCGGCGACGGTGGCAGAGTTGCTACGGCGGAGATGTGTGCCTGGAAGAGGACCGCTCATTCGGGAGACATTAGAGTAAATAGCCGATGTGGAAGCTATGGTTGCTGAGGGGATTGGTCAGGTATATTGAGCTGAAAGACGATGAAACGTGAGTCGTTTTGGAAATTGTACCGGTACACGTTGTCGGTACTACCACAGACATACAGACATAACACTCGCAAGTTGTTCATCGAACAAGCATTTAACGGTCAATTTAAAAGTATCGTAGTTGGTAGTACCGTCACCTGTGGCGCGCATAGTCAGTTCCCTTGCGTTTGACGTTTACACACTAACGCCATCTATTCAGCGTACTACCCACCACAGTTTACTCAACAGATGGCGGTAATGTTTTAGCGACTATGTTTTACAGTGAGAAATACACAATGTGTTATGTCTGTTTGTCTGTGGTACTACGGTGGGTTTCGAAAATTGTTGACCTGTTCTCAGCGAAACGCTTCCACTGACGACCGTATTACCCGAGGTATAAGCTGAATCACCCGAATTTACCTGAGACGGACGGTTCATGTCAACCTGTTGACATAACCGAAGATATGTAAGCTCATCTTCTATCCTATATAAAATATCCCTAGCCGCTCTCGAGTCCCTACCCCTTTTGTCTGGCACCCCTATGCGCTTGAAGAAGTTCATCAACTCAAGTTCCAGTTGTTTTTTTTGGTGCATTGAAAGAATTGCCCTGAGACGTAGGCACAACAGGGTGATTGGAACCTACTGAGGGGGCAGGAAACAAAACACTGAAATTCTGCTAGCTGTTACTTACAGCTATGAGATATAAGGATCCTCCAAAAACGCTAAAAGCAAAAAATTCAAGCTCCAAAGCATAACAATACCAAATACTCTGGAATTGAAATTGAATCCGTCACACCTATGACTTCGACTCTCTCGTCACCTAGAGTTCCTACTAGTGGACCAGTTATGTCTTCCTCACTACCTTCATTGGTAGCCACTCCTTCGGGAAAAAACGCCACTAGATACATATTCTAGTATCAATTCTTGACGAATGTGGTCTAGTAACAAAATTCCAATGACCAAACTGATGGATAAGCAAAAAGCGAATATTGGATAGTTAACATGTTCAGACGCCCAAATCGCTCCACACAGTAGAAACCCGAGCACGATTGGAGTCGAGGAAGTCGTCAATGAGCGATAATCAGAACCTGAGGCCCCGGTGCCTGCGGAGTATCGCATCAACGCGCGCGCGAATGCAATTAAAATCAGTAGGCTCGCCACCGCAAAACTCGTCCTCGTCCCAGTCGTAATGCAAAAGATCATTACAAGAGGCGGAACGCTTTGCACTATGTTTTGCATCATAGCAATGCAAGGCTCAGAATCCTCTCCAAAACCCATGAGGCTATCGGCATCCTCCTCTGTACTGTCCAGTTTAACGCTTGCATTAGATACATCAGAATTGGTCCGTAAGGGCTGTTCATCAATCTCTTCCTCATCGTCATCCCCAGGAGGATCAAAGAGGAACTTTGTGTATGAAGGACAAACCACAGGTGCATAATAATCCCAGATAAAGCCCGGGATCGCGCAGAGTCTTGCAACAAAACGACCCAGATACCGAAGCCCACAGCAGAGAAAATTGAAAATAGTCCAAAGACTAATAAAACAAGCCATGAGAATAGTAATCGGGTCTTGTCTTGTGCGTAATGATATGCATCGCCAGCAATAGACAAAGGAGGTTGATCAGTTGGTCCTCGACTATGCTCCTCCTTTGCACATAGTCGGGAATTCCAAAAACCGACCCCTCGGCTCTCCCCCACTTAGCGAAGACATCCTCAACGGTCGGCATGTCTTCATCATCAAGCTGGGTTTCTGTAATCTTTATTAGAGGCTCATCTGGTTGTGATTGAGTCACACGTTTCGTCTTTCGAACCTCATTTTCGACTTCATTTTCCCAATCTTCTTCATGGTCAAGAACCCCTGGTCCTTCTTCTTCTTCATCTACCAGTGGATCCTCATCTGATGATGACACCCTTTCATCCTCCCCATAGTAATGGTGAGGATGACCTAACACTCTATGCAAAAGTTCCTGCACTATGATTTGAATCTCCTCTCCTGAATGTTCAATTAGAACTAACAACCGATTTGCCAAATGCAACAACATAGATTGACACTTTGGCGCAATATGAGTGGCTAAGAATGACACAGTTTCTAGCTTACAGAGCTTTGCTTCGCAAATTTGGAGATCATCGACAGGGGAGTTGTGTAGATCTTTTCCCATTACCTCTTGGTCTCTTTCTTGCTTCAACGCTTTACGAAGCGCGCGTCTTCGTCGGGACATCGACTGATCACCTGTTAAGAAAATTTTCCTACTGGCTAACTCCTGATCAAGTTCCTCTCCATCCAATAAATCTACTCGAATCTTTAAACACCTCGTGGCAATATTATCTACGGTGAACTTTGTTTCACCCGCCATCTCACTGCCACCAATGTATATTGCCCTCCGAAAAAAAGACAACGAGAAATGGTGACAACTTAAGGCAGAGCTAAAAGCATGGATAGCTGATTAGTCGTGTTGAATGTTCTTTTTTGTGTCCCTCACAACACGGTGGTATCGGCGCCGGTGGTGTAGTGGATGGGAAGTAAAGCCGTTGGTCCCCGGTTCATGAGTTGATGGGTCGATAGGTAGGGTCCAGGTGTGGGAGCTGCCTTACTGGCACGTCGGTAGCATTGGTGCTCAGCACGGAAAACAAGATCGACGGAAAAAACAAACCAAAGGGAAAAAAAAAAAAAAAACAACACGGTGGTGAAGATCAATCGAAAACAATGACCATCTACTACAAAAGATCCCCTTCTATTCTTCACCGGTATTTCCCTAGCACCACAATAGATCGCTATCCGGGACGTCTGGAGGAAGGTCGTACACTCTGACGTACTGAACGGTGCCCCCCGCAGGCGACATACGTACCTCCACTGATTTCCCATCGGCATAATGGTTCACGGTTGTGCAACAAACAATTAAGCATCGATTCTTCTGATTTGAACTTGAGGAACATAGATTTTCCATCCGTTATAGATGGTTCCCTCCCATAGATGGGAGCGCTGAGGTCTTCACCGATAGCTTCTCTGTTGGTGGAGAATGGAAAAGTTCCTTTGGTGAATGTTGTCACCGAAAACCTGGCCACCAAGGCACTGAGGCTCCTAGAAAGGGATCCCATTCTCAATGACAGGCCCACGGTTGCAAGGGCGAGAGAATGGTGGAGCGACTTGACGGGAGTAGATTTTCCCACGTTAGCCCAGCGAGCTAGGCTGTGGCAACGGGCATGGGACGCTACTGCCCCGAAAGTTGATTGGAGGGTTAAAGCTATGTGCGGGGCGGGGGCCAGCTCTGATGTGGCGAAAGCTGCATTTAGAGAGGTCGCTGCCTCATACGAGGGAAGGCCCAAGCTATTTACGGACGGCTCATTAATCTAAGAGGAAGTTGGTTATGGGGTGTCTGGGGAGGACCTAAGCCGCTGCAGCCGGTTACCCGGTCTCTGTGGTATCTTCTCAGCTGAGGCCTATGCTCTCCTGCAAGCTTGTAGGCTAGCAAATGGATCTCAGGCCGTTGTATTATCTGACTCTGCGAGTTGTCTCTCTACCCTTGAGCATGAGCAGGTTGGACACCCCTGGCTGTTAGAAGTGCAGCGGTACGCTAACATAACCTTTGTATGGGTACCTGGACACGCAGGTATACCAGGGAATGAGGCTGCTGATAAACTAGCTAACCAGGGTCGTCTTGCTCAGCTAGAGGCCACTCCGGTGCTCTATAGTGACGCTACCAACTGGGTGAAGCAGACCTCGCGATACGCATGGAATGTGTATTGGCATAACAACCGTGATGCATTCCTGCGTAGAATCAAGAATACTACACAAGAGTGGAAGGATGCTCCTAATTCTCGAGATCAGAAAGTTCTGACTCGGCTGAGGATTGGTCATACACGGCTCACTTATGGACCTCGTTTTAGCGGCAGTGTGGCCTACTGCCAGGGATGCGGTGCGGTTTTAGATGTTAATCATCTATTGGTGGAGTGCCCGGCAAGAGCACAATTGAGGGAAGATATGGGTGTCGTTGGTTCAATCCGAGAGGTATTGTTCAAGGACAGGAGTACAGAACAAACTGTACTCAACTTCCTGTGGGCGGTTGACTTATACGATATGATATAAGCATGATTAAGTTGATGTGGCATTGGAAAGAAAATGACTGGTATAGTCACGCCACTTCATTCGACAAGAGGCAGTCTTTAAGGTCCTAAAGACCATGGTGTGTGAGGGAGGACGACTGACCTAATGGGGGACGATGATGAAACAGTTTGAAACCCGTCTCGAATGAATTAAACTCTTCTCGTGCAGGGGAACAGTTTAAAGAGACGTTAGTAACCTTAGCCACAGCCTCCCATAGATGGTTTCGCACTGCCATGTGCGAAGCTGAATCGTCAGCTTTATTTCAACGGACATCTCCAGTTGTTTGCTTCCAAAAACGACCGAACTTCAGACAATGAGTATGCATCGCAACCAGGGCTCTACATTTTCGAAGCTCTAAAATGAACTCGTGTTTTTTCTCTCTCATACATACGTGTTCGACGCTTCATTTCTATAACGCCTAGCTAGACTATCAGCAAGAAACGAAAATAAAAAAGCAGTACGCTTAGAAGGAAAGGCTGGCTGTGGAACTTCTCGTCGTTGCTTTGCTCATCGCTTTCAATGTAACTAACGTCGATTTTCTAGTTAAACGAACCTCATTACGGCTTTCAATCCCCTTTCACGAACACTCTATCACCGCTCTTTCAATTTGTTTAAAATGCGTTATGTCCCGTTTTTGATCTTTTTTTTTTAGATAAATATATGGATGGAAGATAAATTAAAAATATTACGTGTAATCTTCAAGTGTTTTCACGTGAGAAATGCTTTAAATGTGTTATTTCATTTTCCGTCATATACGTCATGAAACCTCTGTTGATGTGTTTCATGAAAGAGAAAACTATCAAAGTCTAGCGCTCTTTCGCTCATCCGTTTCACCGAAGCTTGAAAGGAAGACCAATGGAGCGACGGGAGAAAGAGAGACAAGCGATTGAATATTTGTTTGTGCACGCCGACTGAGGTTCTAGAATGCTGCGAAGCTGTTCGACTTTAAAGCTGGGTTTAGACTAGGCAAGTCACTTGATCAACTCAGTTGAATTCAATTGGCTTGAAAAGTTGAGCCTGGTTCAACTTTTTTCAATTCAAGTGAGTTGATCAAGTCAATTGAATGGCATTGTTTACACGTTCAATTCGCGTTCAAGTCAGTTGAATTCAACTGACTTGATCAATTGACTTGCCCTGTCTAAACCCAGCTTAACAGAAAAAGAAAGCCAGCAGTCTCTTCGTCGCATCGATTTGGTCGATTGAAGCTGATATTGTGACGCCCTGATCGCAACAATAATTTCAGTCGAAAGAATTGTCAAAAACTGTTTTGAAACGCTTTTACAAAGCTCCAATCTTCTCTAGTGAGAGCGAGTATTGTCGGCAACCAGTTTTTCTTTGGTAACCGTTCCATTTGAACTGCATGTAAATCTGCTGTTCTATTATCGGCAACTCGAAATCAGCTACAATTTGTTGTGCGTGTGTTTCATTTCAAGAAAACCTTGCTAGATTGCTTTTTCTCAGTGGTAAAAATATAGTCAAATTGAAGCTGAAAGCATAAATAATCGTTTGCATGCATTCAGTGAAGTGTTTTCGTAAGAAAATCCAGTGAAAATAGTGTTTAAATTTGGGTTGCCGAAAATAGTCTGTCATGCCGAAGCCGTCATTTCCCCTACCTCATTTCTATGGAAAAGTAATAAAGTATTCAGCACAAGAAATCCCATTAAATTGTGATGTTCCGTGTCATTCGAAGATGTCACTTCTCCAAAAACGCGCCCTCACATCATTCAATATAGGTGTTATTAGAGACCAAAATAAGTGATGATATTGTAACATGCAGCAATAGCGTGCGCAGCAGTGGTTGGAGGCAACTGTCATACTGATCCCGTTAGTTACAGTCAGAGTTCAAAATTATCGCTGGTGAGAACAGAAACGGCACTTTTCACCCTAGAATGTACAGAACTTTGTACAAGCAAAGCAATTGGGTTGTTTCATTTCGAAAAACATTCCAGTTTTTCTACATCATCTGAAAGAGCTTCGTTTTCTGAGCACAACGATATTGATTTATAACGATTCCATGGACATTCATCTCGAATCAAGATTTTTTTTTAAATTTTTGACACTAAATCTATTAGTTGACACCTCACACGCATACAAAGTTGCACCGAGGTGCACTAAGATGGATATTTTTGCTTGTAAACCACCTTTTTTTGCATGGGTCTTAAGCAGGTAACGAAATATTTCTAAAACATAATTTGCACAGTCAACACAGTTCAAACATCCGTCCGTAATCCGAAAAAATGAAAGAACTTGAATAAATTGAACCGTACTAAATGCTTTGCATTCAACTGAAACAAAATAGAACATAAATTAGACACACATGCTGGGGGGTTGTGAACGATAGCCCTAGCAATACTAAATATATTAAAAATTCAGATCAATGCATTTAATCCTGCACTATGGAGTTGAGTAACAACTCATTGTTTTGTTTTGAGTCAAATCCAGTTTCCAGTAGGACATATCCTTATGTATTCTATACACCTGTTGGACTTCTTAACTCGCAATAATACAGTGTCCCGAATGCGCTGGAAAGCAGTAGTGTTAAGCAAGTAAATTGGACATATCGTTTATAGAAGAACTGTGTAGAATCGTAGTTGCTCCTTAAAAACTACCGACCACCAAAATGGTCATAACGAATTTTAAATTTTCCCAGTGCATCTCCAGAGCCTACACTGTAGGAGGCCTACACGACGTGGACTCGAAAATTGTTGTCAAACTTTGTAACTAACCAGATCCTGTATTTATTCAAAACACACACTGAAGAAAATTAAATCACGACAAACAAATAATAGATAGCTAGGATCACCAATCGAATTGACGAGCAAGAGTGCGTTCAAAATACTATTAATAATATTTAAATCGTAAAATAAGCAAGTAATTAGAGTGCCTTGTAATCTGAAGCAGATTAAAGCAAGCGAATGAATTGATAAAAAAAAAGTAAATAACAAAAATACGAACTCTCTTTTCTCACGAAGAAACAATTCTTTAGAAAACAAAAAAACACAGAACAATCTTAGCGGTATGCAACACTATAGCGAAATAATATAATTTGCTCTTTCGAAATGTCTACCGATGAAGCCCACGGTGTGCTTTTCACTAGCGCGTGGTCTATTTACAGAAACTGTCCTAAATTGCTACTAAGAACAAAACAAAACGCAAGGTGAATCCTAAGACGAGCACTTTTTGCAACACAGCTGCAACGAACGAGGTAGAAAGCAAACTAAATAAGCGGTCAAGTCTAGATAAACATTTCAAAATGTCCTATCTGCATTGATCGAATCTCTTCATCGACTTTCTCTTTCGTTAATAACTCAGTTGCAAAACCTTTCCCTGTTGTATTTGACGTTTTGGACGCTAGATAAGAACTTCCTTTATCAAACTATGTGGTAAAATTGGTGTAAAATCTCTTTGCATAACAGTGGTCATCACAAGAGAAAGTCGGTGAAGAGAATCGATCAAAGCAGATAGGACCATTTGAAATGTTCATCTAGAAGTCACGGAGATCGACCAGATCTCGACGCAAACTTGTGAAAAAACTATGAATGAAAATACTGTAAGTGTATGAATTGTAGCTAGTAGAACAAAAATAATCAATAATTTATTGAACCTGCAAAGTTTGACCGATTGGATCGAAAAAAGGCTATGCTCAAGAATTGGAATAAAAACTATGTATAATAAAAATGTACATGTCTAGAATAACATAGTAGAACATAAAAGAAAGCCATGCGGGGATTTGTAGTCTTGGGAAAAATATACTCAATCACTTGGATTCTTGCGCAAATTATTGAAAATTATTTTTAAACAAGAGTAGTTCCACACAGATTTGCAAATCGTTTCTGATCGATGTTTTTAGAATTACTTGTTATTTTACACAGTTGTTTATTATGCGACTTACAAATTGAATAATGGTTGTGAAAAAGTTGAGTAAACGCACTCCATAACTATTTTGCTAGCTTCTGCTTGTGGCTGTATCTGCAGCTTTGTTTCAGCTACTTTACAGCAAAACACTGGAAAAGTTGGCTTATAAAGCTGAAAATGTTAATTGGGGAGTCAAGCACAGCAGGACCCCGGTGTATTTAGTACAAATCACCTGTACATAGTGAAGTTCCGGTAGACGTACCGGCGAGGGGAACGACTCTATCTACGTTGCAGGAAAGATTGTGTTTTGCTGTGGTTAGCTGCGTGCACGCTGAATAGATGGAAAGAAGATAAATGGCGATTCTGCAGATTTCCTGCAAAAAGATGCAAGTAGATGCAAGTAGATCCGAGAACTGAAAGAAGAGTTTTCGAAGATTGATTCGCTAGTGTGAAATTTTTTGAGGTTAAACCACAGACAAACAGACGTAACTCTTTGAAAAAGTTTTTCTTGAAAACATAGTATCTCAGAACATAGGACCTCAGTAACGACATCTCTCAGGCTTCTCGCGGAAAACAAGCTTGCTCCCTAACTCGCAAACAATATTGCATGAAAGTTCTATAGAATGTATAGAAACGTCAAAGTGATCCGATGCTAGCGCTGCGGCGAGTAGTTCGCGAAACTGATAATATTCAAATCAACCGTTAAAGGCGCGAACGAAGATACACAATAAAGAGTTACGTCTGTTTGTCTGTGGTTAAACCATCACATATCGAACTGAAATTCTGAGGGTATATAAAAATTCATTTACATAGACGCTAGACGTTGTTAGTTGTTGCAACATGTATCCTTCATCCGTTTCATGTATTAACTTATAAATGTTTGGCTTGCACTCAAGGAAAAAATATATATATATATAATGGGATTAAAGACAAGTGTTTCATATGTATGAAACGCTAGGGGCAGAAATTTACCCAGTTCTGGGTAGATGTTCACCCCAGCGTTGAGTCCGGAAACAGTCATAGGGCCTGATTACAGATGTCACTTCACGGTGAAAACTTGTCACTTGTCGTCACGGTGAAGTGATTCCCATTTGATTTGTACGGCAATCACGGTTCTTATTATGAGTATCACTTCCTTATCACCGTGTAGTGAAACCCGAAATAAGCCCATAAAATAATGTCTGAGGGTGAAATAAATGCCATACCAAGGACCTCTTCTCGTATCATGCAGTAAATCGAGGTTAGAAACGGATCATGATTTGTATCGAGATGGTTGCAGTTTGCTTCACACATCGCTATCAACCTCACTATCAACTAAAGTAACATCCCGTTTACTGCTAGAACTGCATAGCTGGCGTTTACCACGTTTGAAATTCGTGATTTTTTTTTCGAAAAATGAAGTGGTTTTTGGCAACACGCGATTTCTGCGTTT